CAAAGGAAACTATAAGCAAGGTGAAAAGACAGCCCTCAGATTGGGAGAAGATAATAGCAAACGAAGCAACAGACAAAGGATTAATTTCAAAAATATACAAGCAACTCCTCCAACTCAACTCCAGAAAAATAAATGACCCAATCAAAAAATGGGCCAAAGAACTAAACAGGCATTTCTCCAAGGAAGACATACAGATGGCACAAAAACACATGAAAAGATGCTCAACATCACTCATTATCAGAGAAATGCAAATCAAAACCACAATGAAGTACCATTACACGGCAGTCAGGATGGCTGCTATCCAAAAGTCTACAAGCAATAAATGCTGGAGAGGGTGTGGAGAAAAGAATCCTGACTAAGCTCTTATCATTTGTGTCCAGTATAAAAGAAAGGCCTGGCAGGGACATTGAAGGACTCATCTGAGTAGAAGGAATTCCTGGTGGCATTCAAGAAACCAACACCTCTCCTTTAATATCTAGGAATACACCAACCCTGCCTGCTCACAAGTTTTGCTTTGGAATGAAAAACACATTAGATAGGGTGGGGGGAGTCAAAAGACTGTGGGAAATCTTCTTTCTCACACGTAAGGAATGAGTCGGGATTCAGTGTTCCATCTTTCTTATCTCTGAGTCCTTACCCAAGGCTGGAGCTCGGTCCCAGAAACCCACTATTTCCTGCTCCCACTGATGTTGTGTAGAGGTGAAGGTCTGTGTTCCTCCTGGAGCTACTAGTTAGAGCACTGAGAATTCAGAAATGCATCTTGATGGTCATGTCTGCATCGATAACTTCTCACATTGTCAGACAGCCTATGAGTGTAGGTGGTTACTTGATTTTAGGAACTTTACACCATTGAAACAGAATAAGAGTCCAATAAAAGTCAGTTTTAAATGTCAAATTGTTTTTGACATATGAGCTTCTTCCTAGAATCTACCTGGATAAGAAAAGCAGGCTTAGACTCAGACAGTTCTGGCTGGAAAATGTCAGACCCAAGCCCTACAAGCAAAACTGCAGTAGAAGCTACATCTAACCCCAGACAACAAATTTGCTAACATTTAGAGATTTTATAATTTCTAATGGTTTATAGCACTGTTTGTCTTTTGTTTGGTTTGATTACACAGTATTGCTTTTGCTCTGGCTGTAACTGAACACACAATAGTGGATGCTGGTTATTCCCCAAGACTCTGTTCCTTTTAGTCATACCCAGCATATCATCTCATACGCTATCATTCTATTATGCAATCTGTATGCACATTTGAAATAATGATGCTAGCTTGTGAAGTTAAGGATTATGGCATAATCATACACTGCAGGACAGACTAAAAGAAACCATAGACAATGTGAAAGAAATGTGATACTGTCTATGAAGTTTGACCGCCATCTCTTAAGATTTTCTCTATTTTGACTGTTTCCATTCTATTCCTCAAAACATTTTCCTATTTAATCAAAGATGGGCCATCATGCTCCACTCAAGGAAAAGTGAAAGTGAAAGTGAAGTCGCTCAGTGGTGTCCGACTCTTTGCAACCCTGTGGATTGTAGCCTACCAGGCTCCTCCATCCATGGGATTCTTCAGCAAGAATACTGGAGTGGTTTGCCAGTTCCTTCTCCAGCTCAAGGAAAGATACTTTATTTTTTAATTTCTCTGAACTATGGTTGATTTACAATATTTACAATATTGTGTTTAGTTTCAGTTGTACAGCAAAGTGAATCAGTTTACATATTGTATATATACAATATGTAACTGATATCTCCACTCTTTCTTCATACTGTTCATGGGGTTCTTGAGGCAAGAACACTAAAGTGGTTTGCCATTCCCTTCTCCAGTGGACCACGTTTTGTCAGAACTCTCCACCAAGACTCGTCCATGATTGGTGGCCCTGCAAGGTATGACTCATACCTTCCCTGAGTTACACAAAGCTGTGATACATGTAATCAATGCAAGAAGGTAAAGGGTTTCTGAAGAGGCTTTACAACAGCTGAGAAAAGAAGAGAAGGGAAAGGCAAAGGAGAAAGGGAAAGATATTCCCAACTGAATGCAGAGTTCCAGAGAATGGCAAGGAGAGATAAGAAAGCTTTCATTTCTTAAGTGAACTGCAAAGAGATAGAGGAAAACAATAGAATGGGAAAGACTAGAGATCTCTTCAAGAAAATTGGGGATACCAAGGGAACATTTCATGCAAAGATGGACCCAATAAAGGACAGAAATGGCTAGGTTTTATCTTTATGCTTATAACCAATTTGACTTGATTTTTTTGTGGATGATTTGTGCTATTTATTGGAACTTTCTGAGTTTTTGCAGTTAGTGTTTCAGTATAAATTTTTGAAAAGATTATACTTTCTCCAATAGATTCCTTTCACCTTTATTTTAAAAAACCCATTTTCTCATATACAGAGGTGTATTTCTGAGCTCTTTCTTTTTGTGCCATCAATTTAGTTATTTCTTTGCACACCAACACCACTCAGTTGTGATTACTGTTGCTTTAAATAAGTTTTGACATTAGGTAGTGTTACTCCTCCATTTATGTTCTTTGCAATAACACAATAATATATTGTCACTGGGAGTCACATTCTATAAATGTCCATTAGGACAATTTGGTTTATACTGTTGTCTTATACTTCATGATCTTCTATTTAATCTATGGGTAAATTTGATCTACTGCTCTATTAATCTATGGATTTCAGTGTTCCAAGAGATATTAAAATATCTATTGAAATCTCAGGCTACAATTTCCATTTATTTTGGCAGTTCTATCAGTTTTAGCCCTATATAATGTGAATCTCTCTTATTAGGTGCATGAACACTTAGAAGTCTTAAGTCCTCTTGATGATTTGATCCCTTTATCACTTTGAAATGACCTGGTAATAATATTTTTATTCTGAAATTTATTGTTTCTAATATTAATATAGGCACTCCTGTTCTTCTTAGACTAGTGTTAACATGTATGACCATTTAGTTGTTTTAATTTAGTCAATTTGTGAATCTATATTTTGAGATTTTAGACAACATATAGCTGTACCTTGCTTTTTTATCTATCTGAAAACATTTGCCTTTACCTGGAATGTTTCCACCACTTATATTAAATGTGATTATTGATATGGTTATCTGTCAGTCTATCATTGCTGCCATTTGTTTACTGTTTTCCCACATGTTGTCCCCTTTTCCTTTCTCTTCCTGTCTTTATAACATATTGTTTATGATTCCATTTTGTCACCTTTGTTGGCTCATTAGTTGTAACCTCAAATTTAAAGTTATTTTAGTTGTTTATAAAAAGTTTATAATATATATCTTTAACTTATCATAGTCTCTCTATATATATATGATATCTCACCACTTCACAAATACTGAAATAACCATATTTTATGTGTAAATAAATATACATGTATGTATTTCTCCTTCCAAACTGTAATATGTTTGTCATATATTTTACATTTATATAGATAGTAAAGCTTCATAATATTGTGAAGTTTTTAATAATTGTCATATTGCTATTTTATTATCATAATGTTTTTATTTTTAAAAGGTATTCCATTATCTTAAAGAGTTTCAAATAGCAAAATAAAACCTTATATATTTACCCACATAAATATAATTTCTGGTGCTCTCCATTTTTGTGTGTTTATTTTCCTTGTTATGTGCTTATACATCTAGAAGACATGATTTCTTGCATGTTTGCTATCATACAAGAAGAAAAACCTAGTCTCTGTTTCTCCATCTTTAGTATTTAGTATTACTTATCATCTTTAGTTTTATTATTTTAAAAGTTAACTGCTTTTGGATTGCTAGTGAAAATATCTTACCTTGCTTATTTGGGACATGAACACTTAAGAAAATATTAAATTAAGATGCACCAGTGGGAGACTGGAAAACACTGTGATTTTTAACAATGACTTCTATCTGGGTGATATTATTACAAACAAATATGCAGCTATGTATTTTGAAAAACATGCGGGAAAATACGTTTATTTTTCTTTATTGTTTTATACAATCCCATTGTCTATTTGAAAAGTATTAATGTTAAACATTTCATTGTAAATGCGCCAGAGTTCTGAGGTCACTGAAACACTTCTTTTTTCAGTTTTTAAATAAAGCTAATTTTTTAGAACAGTTTAAGTTTACAGCAAAACTGAGCGAAGTAAGGGGATTCTGATACCCCCATCCCCATACATGCATAGTCTCCCTCAGAAGCAAAATCCTGCAGCAAAGTGGAACCTTTATGGCCTTTGCAGACTGGCTTCCCTCACTTTCTTATATACAATCAGGCTTCCTTCCTGTCATCCTGTGGTTTGATAGCTCCTTTCTTTTGAGCACTGAGTAACATGCCAAGGTCTGGATGTGCCATGGTTTACTCACCCCTTCACCTAGTGAGGGACGTCTTGGTTGCTCCCGTGTTATCACAGTTATGAACAAAGTTGCTACAGACATCTGTGTACAGGTTTTGGGTAAGCAGACATTTTCTACGCCCTTGTGCAAATAACAGAGTGAGATTGCTGGACAAACACATGTTTAGATTTGGAAGAACTGCCAAAGTTTATTCCTAAGTGTCTGCGCCATTTTGCATTGCCAAGAGCAATAAATGAGTTTCTGTTACTCCACGTCCTTGTTGGTATTTGCCATGTTTTCTATTCCTTTATATTTTGCAAGGTACATGCAAATATAGGACTTGGTACATGTTTAGTTGAAGAAATAAGTTTAAACAAACAGCATGATATTCAGAGTTGAAAGCAAACAAATAAACCGGAAATCCCAGCTGTATTTACCTCAGAGGAAAAAGGCCAGTGCTGGGAGCGCACCAGGGCTTCCCAGGAGGCTCAACAGTACAGACTGCCTGCCAGCGCCAGACACAGAAGACACGCCGGTAGGACGCGGGGTAGATGCTTGACCAGGGACGATCGCTGGAGGAGGAAACGGCAGTCCCCTCCGGAATTCTTACGTGGAAGATTCCATGGACAGAGGGGCCTGGCGGGTGCAGTCGTCCTCGGGATCCCGAAGAGGAGGAGGAACTCAGCGCACACAGGAGCTCCTGGGTTCGCTGTCCACGGCCGGCTGCGCCTGGCCTGGGGGGTCCGGCAGCCCCGGGGATCCGCCTCTCAGGTCGCCCTGGACACAGAAGTCCCCCGCGCCTCGCTCCGCACCCGGGACCCTCGGCGTCCTTGCTCGCGGAGCCGGAGCTGAGGTCGCGGTCACAAAAGTCCGCGAATCTCCTCTCGGGCTTAGTGGCCCGGCGCGCCCCGTTTCCAGCACAGGGCCCGCAGATCCCGGTTTTCTGACGTGCGATCTGCCTCCCTCCCGCGACAGCATCCCCGGGGACGCAGGCCTCCTGGCGCCACCGGGCACTCGTGGACAGAAGGGGCCCGGATCCCGTGAGGAAACCGCCGTCTCCCACCAGGACTCGGTCTGCTCTCCGTCGCCCTCCGCGGCCTCCTCACTCCCGCGCGGCTTCGGCGGGACGGAGCCGGACACCTCCCGCAGCCCGGCCCGGGACCGGCTCCCCGGGCGCCCTCCCGCGTCCTCCCCGGCTCCGGAGCCGCGCGCCCCGCGCTCCGCCTTGGCGCTCCTCCCGGCGGCGGGCGCGTTCGACGGGGCGCGGAGAGGAGCCCCCCGCCGCCCCACGACGGCTCGGAGCTCAGATCCGCAGACATCTCTTGGGGACGCGCCTCTCTCTGGGAAGGAGGAGGCTCCTTCCAGAAAGGATGTGAGAACCAGGAACAGACTGTAAGCTCACAAGAGCACTGTCCCCAACAGTGACGCAGAACCAGAGCCGGGGAATGAGGCCGGGGGTCTCCAGACCTGCAGGGTCAGAGGGTCCCCAGGGCCGCCCGTGCTCTTGCTCCCGCCGCTGGGGCCGCGGAATTCTGCGCTGTAGGACTTCAGTCTAGGGACTTGAGGCCTTTGTATACTATCTTTGATCCCATGTTTTTCTGCAGCAACGCTTACATTTTTTTTTCTAGATAACGTTTGTATTTTTTATTCCTGTTGTTTTTGTTTAAAGCTGAATCTCTTGATATTTTAAAAGACAATACAAGAAATACAGTGAAAACTGTTTCTAAATTAAACCAATAAAAATAAATGCAAATTATAAATCTAACCAATTTACAAAAAAACATACAGTATCACAAATTCATGAAAGAGGGAACTGGAATTGTTTATAGTAAGACAGAAATGAATTTACTCATTTTTATATATTCTAAAAATAATAATACTATGTAATGAACAAATAAAACTAATGTGGAAATGCCTTCAAATTTTATATAACTCAAATTCATTAAACCCAATTACTGACTGTGCCATATTTAAGTCATTTCAGACAAAACTCGTACTTGCCTTTGCCCTTCCATGCATTCTCGCATCAAGTCACGTGTACCAAAGGCTCTGGAGTTACTGGTCTAACTTTTTTTTTTTTATGGTTTGCATTTTTTTTTCATTTATTTTTATTAGTTGGAGGTTAATTACTTTACAACATTGCAGTGGGTTTTGTCATACATTGACATGAATTAGCCATGGATTTACATGTATTCCCGATCCCGATCCCCCCTCCCACCTCCGTCTCCACCCGATCCCTCTGGGTCTTCCCAGTACACCAGGTCCGACACTTATCTCATGCATCCAACCTGGGCTGGTGATCTGTTTCACCCTAGATAATATACATGTTTCGATGCTGTTCTCTTGAAACATCCCACCCTCGCCTTCTCGCATAGAGTCCAAAAGTCTGTTCTATACATCTGGGTCTCTTTTTGTTTTGCATACAGGGTTAGCGTTACCATCTTTCTAAATTCCATATATATGTGTTAGTATACTGTAGTGGTCTTTATCTTTCTGGCTTACTTCACTCTGTATAATGGGCTCCAGTTTCATCCATCTCATTAGAAGTGATTCAAATGAATTCTTTTTAATGGCTGAGTAATATTCCATGGTGTATATGTACCACAGCTTCCTTATCCATTCGTCTGCTAATGGGCATCTAGGTTGCTTCCATGTCCTGGCTATTATAAACAGTGCTGCGATGAACATTGGGGTGCACGTGTCTCTTTCAGATCTGGTTTCCTCGGTGTGTATGCCCAGAAGTGGGATTGCTGGGTCATATGGCAGTTCTATTTCCAGTTTTTTAAAAACATCTCCACACTGTTTTCCATAGTGGCTGTACTAGTTTGCATTCCCACCAACAGTGTAAGAGGGTTCCCTTTTCTCCACACCCTCTCCAGCATTTATTGCTTGTAGACTTTTGGATAGCAGCCATCCTGACTGGCATGTAATGGTACCTCATTGTGGTTTTGATTTGCATTTCTCTGATAATGAGTGATGTTGAGCATCTTTTCATGAGCATGTTTGTTAGCAATCTGTATGTCTTCTTTGGAGAAATGTCTGTTTAGTTCTTTGGCCCATTTTTTGATTGGGTCGTTTATTTTTCTGGAGTTGAGCTGGAGGAGTTGCTTGTATATTTTTGAGATTAATCCTTTGTCTGTTGCTTCGTTTGCTATTATTTTCTCCCAATCTGAGGGCTGTCTTTTCACCTTGCTTATAGTTTCCTTTGTTGTGCAAAAGCTTTTAAGTTTCATTAGATCCCATTTGTTTATTTTTGCTTTTGTTTCTAATATTCTGGGATGTGGGTCATAGAGGATCCTGCTGTGATTTATGTCGGAGAGTGTTTTGCCTCTGTTCTCCTCTAGGAGTTTTATAGTTTCTGATCTTATGTTTAGATCTTCAATCCATTTTGAGTTTATTTTTGTGTATGGTGTTAGAAAGTGTTCTAGTTTCATTCTTTTACAGGTGGTTGACCAGTTTTTCCAGCACCACTTGTTAAAAAGGTTGTCTTTTTTCCATTGTATATCCTTGGCTCCTTTGTCAAAGATAAGGTGTCCATAGGTTCATGGATTTATCTCTGGGCTTTCTATTCTGTTCCATTGATCTATATTTCTGTCTTTGTGCCAGTACCATACTGTCTTGATGGCTGTGGCTTTGTAGTATAGTCTGAAGTCAGACAGGTTGATTCCTCCAGTTCCATTCTTCTTTCTCAAGATTACTTTGGCTATTCGAGGTTTTTTGTATTTCCATACAAATTGTGAAATTATTTGTTCTAGTTCTGTGAAAAATACCGTTGGTAGCTTGATAGGGATTGCATTGAATCTATAGATTGCTTTGGGTAGTATAGCCATTTTGACAATATTGATTCTTCTAATCCATGAACACGGTATATTTCTCCATCTGTTTGTGTCCTCTTTGATTTCTTTCATCAGTGTTTTATAGTTTTCTATGTATAGGTCTTTTGTTTCTTTAGGTAGATATACTCCTAAGTATTTTATTCTTTTTGTTGCAGTGGTGAATGGTATTGTTTCCTTAATTTCTCTTTCTGTTTTCTCATTGCTAGTGTATTGGAATGCAAGAGATTTCTGTGTGTTAATTTTATATCGTGCAACTTTACTATATTCGTTGATTAGCTCTAGTAATTTTCTGGTAGAGTCTTTAGGGTTTTCTATGTAGAGGATCATGTCATCTGCAAACAGAGAGAGTTTCACTTCTTCTTTTCCTATCTGGATTCCTTTTACTTCTTTTTCTGCTCTGATTGCTGTGGCCAAAACTTCCAAAACTATGTTGAATAGTAGTGGTGAGAGTGGGCACCCTTGTCTTGTTCCTGATTTTAGGGGAAATGCTTTCAATTTTTCACCATTGAGGGTAATGCTTGCTGTGGGTTTGTCATATATAGCTTTTATTATGTTGAGGTATGCTCCTTCTATTCCTGCTTTCTGGAGAGTTTTAATCATAAATGGATGTTGAATTTTGTCAAAGGCTTTTTCTGCATCTATTGAGATAATCATATGGTTTTTATCTTTCAATTTGTTAATGTGGTGTATTACATTGATTGCTATTTGGATACTGAAGAACCCTTGCATTCCTGGGATAAAGCCCACTTGGTCATGGTGTATGATTTTTTTAATATGTTGTTGGATTCTGTTTGCTAGAATTTTGTTAAGGATTTTTGCATCTATGTTCATCAGTGATATTGGCCTGTAGTTTTCTTTTTTTGTGGCATCTTTGTCTGGTTTTGGAATTAGGGTGATGGTGGCCTCATAGAATGAGTTTGGAAGTTTACCTTCTTCTGCAATTTTGTGGAAGAGTTTGAGTAAGGTAGGTGTTAGCTCTTCTCTAAATTTTTGGTAGAATTCAGCTGTGAAGCCATCTGGTCCTGGGCTTTTGTTTGCTGGAACATTTCTGATTACAGTTTCGATTTCCTTGCTTGTGATGGGTTTGTTAAGATCTTCTATTTCTTCCTGGTTCAGTTTTGGAAAGTTATACTTCTCTAAGAACTTGTCCATTTCTTCCAAGTTGTCCATTTTATTGGCATAGAGCTGCTGGTAGTAGTCTCTTATGATCCTTTGTATTTCAGTGTTGTCTGTTGTGATCTCTCCATTTTTGTTTCTAATTTTGTTGATTTGGTTCTTCTCCCTTTGTTTCTTAATGAGTCTTGCTAATGGTTTGTCAATTTTGTTTATTTTTTCAAAAACCCAGCTTTTAGCTTTGTTGATTTTTGCTATGGTCTCTTTAGTTTCTTTTGCATTTATTTCTGCCCTAATTTTTAAGATTTCTTTCCTTCTACTAACCCTGGGGTTCTTTATTTCTTCCTTCTCTAGTTGCTTTAGGTGTAGAGTTAGGTTATTTATTTGACTTTTTTCTTGTTTCTTGAGGTAGGCCTGTAATGTTATGAATCTTCGTCTTAGCACTGCTTTTACAGTGTCCCATAGGTTTTGGGTTGTTATGTTTTCATTTTCATTCATTTCTATGCATATTTTGATTTCTTTTTTGATTTCTTCTATGATTTGTTGGTTATTCAGAAGCGTGTTATTTAGCCTCCATATGTTTGAATTTTTAATATTTTTTTTTCCTGTAAGTGGGATCTAATCTTACTGCACTGTGGTCAGAAAAGATGACTGGAATGATTTCAATTTTTTTGAATTTACCAAGACTAGATTTATGGCCCAGGATGTGATCTATTCTGGAGAAGTTTCCGTGTGCACTTGAGAGAAAGGTGAAGTTGATTGTTTTGGGGTGAAACGTCCTATAGATGTCAATTAGGTCTAGCTGGTCCATTGTGTCCTTTAAAGTTTGTGTTTCCTTGTTCATTTTCTGTTTAGTTGATCTATCCATAGTTGTGAGTGGGGTATTAAAGTCTCCCACTATTATTGTGTTACTATTAATTTCCTCTTTCATACTTGTTAGCATTTGCCTTACATATTGTGGTGCTCCTATGTTGGGTGCATATATATTTACAATTGTTATATCTTCTTCTTGGATTGATCCTTTGATCATTATGTAGTGTCCTTCTCTGTCTCTTTTCAGAGCCTTTATTTGAAAGTCTATTTTATCTGATATGAGTACTGCGACTCCTTCTTTCTTTTGGTCTCTGTTTGCGTGAAATATTTTTTTCCAGCCCTTCACTTTTAGTCTGTATGTGTCCCTTGTTTTGAGGTGGGTCTCTTGTAGACAGCATATATGGGGGTCTTGTTTTTGTATCCATTCAGCCAGCCTCTGTCTTTTGGTTGGGGCATTCAACCCATTTACATTTAAGGTAATTATTGATAGGTATGGTCCCGTTGCCATTTACTTTGTTGTTTGGGGTTCACATTTATACCACCTTTCTGCACTTCCTGTCTAGAGAAGATCCTTTAGCATTTGTTGAAGAGCTGGT